TGAGTGCGGTGATTTTAATAATTATCCCTGGGGTATAGATGTTTATAAAGCTACAATTGACTCATGTTCCAACAAGTTTCAAGCTAAGCCTTCTTTTATAGACTCGGTGGCTTCCCGTTGGCTTTATAGACTTGGTTGTATGAATGCTGCCCAAGTTTGGATGATCACTTTGCTGATCATCTTGGAAACAAACTTCCACGAATTTTGAATTGGGTAGTCATGGGTCAAATACCGAATGAGCGAGTTGCTTTGCAAATGTGTAGCTTGCAACGCGAGCAGGTAACTTTCTCATAGTTTTATTGCCTCTCTTAATGTTTTGGTACAGTAGTTTAGTCATAGTTGTAGCAATATCCCAGTTCAGTGATATACTTTGTCGGTATACATGTATACTATATTGGTATCATGTATACTATATCCCAGTTCAGTGATATACTCTGTTGGTATACATGTATACTATATTGGTATCATATGGTAATAGGGATCTTTTATCTTTCCATACTTTATTATCATTTCTATTTCTAACTAGTGTGCTTAATAATTGCAGCTAAAGAACATCACCCCAACTGATGATGAGAAGCAACTATTTGATGTGCGTGGTCTAAACTTTGAAATTGAAGTTGAGTGCACTGACAGTCAGCCCGATAGCTTTCAGGTTTTTGGCACTCAATTACCAAAGACACAAAGTATGCATGAAAGTACTGGAGGTGATTCCCAACCTACCAATGCTGAGGTAATGAAGGAGTTACAAGCTTTGAAGCTTTTTGTAGAGACCAAGTTTGAGGAGGTGCTTGCAGCTATTGGTAGGCAGTCAATGAAACTGGAGGGAAATTCAGCGGTATTGATCTTTTATATAATATAATGCTATAGTATATTGTTCAAAGATGCAATATATGATTATAGGATACTATTCCATTCTTTACTTTTAGTGCACATAGTATTCTTGTAATATACATAATACTAAAATTAAATGTTTCTCATTTTCAGCATAAGCAACAGGATAATGATCCTGACTTTCGTGAGATGCATAATGATTATGACCAGTTTGAAAGTGGCCACATTGGGAATGATCCTGTAGTTCTTGGAGATAGAACGCCCAAAGCGCCTTCTAGTATGTAAATCACATATTTGATTGATTTTTTTTTTGCTGTTGTTTTTTGAAAATAGTACTCTTGCTTATACTTTTATATGTTTTGTATCTGGTTTTGGTGGGGTTGGTCAAGATGGAGGTGCCACTGGTGTCAATGTGAAGAACGTCACAACAAGTGATGGTGTAGTTAATGATGATTTTGGCTTAGATTCTAACTTTAAACTGTCTGCATCTGCAATTGAAAAAATCACCGCCATTACACGACAAGCAACATATAAGCAGTCATCTCATGATGTTAATAAGTCGGGTCCTGCTCCGCTGCCATCAGGAATCCCTGTACAGACACGAGCAGATGTTGTTATTGAGTTTAATACTGCTCCACAGGGTACGATGTTGATGTTACTAATTCTGTAGTTAGTAGGTAAATGATAGGTTCTTGATAGTTTTTTAATTTTTATTTAAGTAGTGATGTTGATAATGCTTTTATGTGTTCAGCATGTCGGGTTGATGGTGTTAGTCAAGTGGATGTTGGTGACAGTAATGTGAATTTGCCTTCTGGTAATGTCTTCTATATATAACTTTTCATTCTTTTTTTCTAAATTTAATAACTTTGTATATTTATTTATTCACTAGCATTTTCTAATTTAAGCTCCATGTCGACACGGGGGTGATCTTCATTTGGATTCTGATTTTGAATATACTAATTCTCAACTTGATCTAATTGCTGCCATTACACAAGGAGGGAGACGTAATGTAAATCAATCTGGAAATGAATTGACAACTTGTGCTGTAAATAAGTCTAAACCTGATCAGTCGGTATCAAGAAGTATTGTCCAAATACAAACAGACGTTGAAACTACTCCTACAGTTTTCGCACGTAGAAGGCGCCCCGCAGCTGTAAAACGGTCGCCTTATAGGATTGACTGGCAATCTGGTGTTAGTGCAGTTGGGGGATCCTCAAAGGTTATCAAATGAAGATTTCCATTTGTAAATTACATTTCAGAGACTGTTGATTTTAAGCTTACGACTGCATTATCAAACTTTGTTGAAGCAAATATGCAATTGGGAGAGTGCGTATTCGTTTCCATGTACTTTTGTTTTCATTTTTTCTTAATGTTTGTTATTATATTTCTTATCCATATCTTCTTTTATAAGAAATAGGGAAGTGTATTTACCTGGTGATCAAAAGTTAGAGCCTCGTTTTGACTTTGAAGTTGAACAGATTGATGATAAGACATTTTTCCATAACTTAAACTATTCTGGCAGGCCGCTCTCTAGTTCGGTATGTGTACTATTTTTATTTTTGTTGTTGTAGTAGTTCATTCATATTGTTAGTGGTAGTCATGTTTTCTTCCTCTCTTTTTTGCAGCACTTGAATATTATATTCTACTATCTTAGGAAGAAGGCAAAATATGGAATTAATATGCCAATCAAAGTCACAACTACAGATACTCTTTTTAATAATATCATTCAAAGGGTTTTCACAGAATTTGTAAAAGGTGGGAAACAAGATCATTTGATTGATAGATCAGACGATATCATGGAGTACATGAAAGGATTTAGGATGCATTGCAACACTCCATGGCACCAGGTTGATCATGTCATTTTTCCAATTAATTTGGCAAAAATTTGGCATTGGATATTGGGGTGTCTGTCATTCCACAAGAGATGTTTTTACGTATATGACTCGCTACGTAGTCGAAAGCACAAAAAAGCTATTCAAAAGGTGGCAGAGGCTTATGCTGTGTTGACCCTCCTATTTCTAGTTAGTATTGAATTTTATAACCAAAGAAGTGACATTGTAGTAGAAAATGGTCTGCACATGGGAAAGAAGTTGACTGATCCTTTTGAGATTGAACTGATTACAAATCTGCCAACACAGCAAAATTCGTAAGAATAGTTACTTTTTTTT